TTTTTTTTTTTTTTTTTTTTTTTTTTTAATTTTAAAAATCAAGAAACCTTATAAAGTTATTTTTTAATGGATGATAAACGAAATAGAAGTTAAAGATTTGAGTATAACTTTAATTTGTGGTAGTTATGGTTTTAACTTTGATAATCGTAATGAAATTAGAATTCACGATAGCTTGTTCGATTCATTTCTCATGCGAAAAATTTTATTTCAGTAGAGTTTTGGGTTTTTCTTGATTAGTTAGAGCAATATTGGGCTCAGTGTAAATACCCAAACAAAAAGACGGGGAATTTGTTTTAGATAGTTTTTAGTTAGTCTTTTTAGTTTTTTTTTCTTTAAAAAGAAAAGCTTGGCTAAGCCCAGATGTCTTTAAATATGAAACTAACAAATTTTGTGAGAAATACATCAAAATTATGTAATTGTTCTATCGTATAATTCACCTTTTTTTTTTATAAATAAATTGTTTGTTAATTGTTTTGGGACATTTTAGTTAACACCTTGTACATATTACATTGAAGAAAAACTTTAATATATTTTTATTTCCCGTAAAATGTGATTATTTTGATTTTGACACCGTAATTTTTTTTTTCATTTTTATAAAACTTAAAATTATTGTTTTAGTTCTTATTATTATATGATCCTTTTAATTCATTGTGTGATTATTAAAAGGTTATGTGATCATTACAAGTGATATTTACGATTCTATGTGTTATTTTATACGTGATATCTTTATTTTTTTTATATGATTCTTTAAAATAAGTATTATATATACACCTTAAAATGATCATTAGGAACAAAAAATAATGACTTTAAATTATAAGGATGAAATTTTTTTTTTTTAAAAATCAAAATCAAAATTTATTTAATTTACATACACTAAAAATAATGTTTGTAAAATTTAAAAGGATGAAAAATTAAAAAAAAAAGACATTTTTAAGAAATAAAGTTAAAATTCATCTATTTTACATAAATTAAAAATATATTTAAGTAAAAAAAATTAAAAAATTGTGGGATAGTGGCTCCCAAACCCATGGGCATCGATTACACTTTACACACACAAATTCATGATATGAGTTGTTTCTTTTTTACTTTATTTCAAATGATTTGTAATTGTGCATATTATATTAAAAAATAAATTGTGGTATAGTTGCTCCCAAACCAATGAAAATAGATTCGTTCCAGACTCCTGCTGGAATATACTCAATCTAATAATATTATGAAGAGAAGTGCTACATCGTTCAAATCAGTCGATTTATTTTTCAACGCTTAAATTAATGATAATATTAAATTAAAATGTTTTTTTATACGTTAAATCAATTTACAGAAATATAACCTTCAGTATTCGGAGGATTTTTTGGATCATAACTTTTGGAGGTTTAAGCATTTAACTATTATGAAATGGCCAAAATAATGTATGAAATTAATAAAAATATGCTACTTACAGTGTAATCAAGTCTCTACAAGGCATTCCATAAAATATTAATGTGTATGTCCTATAACTTTATGGAAATATCTCACTTAAATTATAATACACAAAATTATTCTAAAAGTTGTAATTCATGCCTATACTACATAATTAGACATTGCAATTCTAATATTAAAACCTACAAAAATTATTTATTAAACTGAAATAGATAGAAGAATTCGTAAAATATAATTGATCCTTTAAATTTGTTAAAAAAAATGATAATTTATAATATAAATTTAATTATTTCATACTTAATTTAAAAAAATATAACAAGACAACACAAATTAACATAAGATGGCAAAAACAAAATGTTTAATTTTTTTATCATTTAATAAATCATAAGACAAATTTTTATCCCAAATAGAAAATATTAAAAAAAATCACTCATGTTTTTATGTTAATAATTAAGTAACATTTAATAAATTTTTTAACAAAATTTGAGTATAAAAACTTCAATTTTTTTGAAATTCAAGACTAAAAAAATAAATATTAAACTTGAAAAATTATAAACAAATTTATCTTAAATTTAAAAAATTAAACATATTTAAACTTTTTATATTTTTTATTTAGTCTTTAACTGTGCTTGTTACCACGACTATCACTACTATCATCATGTTACTATTACGACCACTATTATTATTGATATCATATCACTCTTGTTAACATACTATTATTATTTTTTAATTTTTAAATAATAAAAAATAATATTAAAAATCAATCATATTTACAAAAGTAAAATTCAAATTCAAGATCTTTAGATTTAAAAATGAAATACAATATCAATTAATTAATTAAATATTAATAATTTTAAATATTTTTATTAAATAAAATATAGATATATAAAATTCCTCAATCCCTAATTATTATTATTATATTTATTTTAAAATAATTAATTTAAAAAGGTTGATGCAGTAAATTCTATATTATTTTATTTATATAGTTGACTGTTCACAAAATAGCAGATATGATAAAGTAATTGTCTTAAATGCGTAACAAACTGGATGAATTGATTTGAAATAAAGCATTAGTTTGTGACGTATGCCTCTCTTTATAATTGTTCAAACATCTGGTTTTACGTAATTTAAATGGATGAACTTAATTATGAACTTGTGTTTCCAAAACCTAAGTTGAGTTTAATCCCACTCATTTAGAATTAGAAATTTAAGCAGCATGTTTGGGTCTTTGCAAATAACGAAGGAATATTCCATCACAATTGACTAATAAGACAATAATCTGCACTCTGCAATCTCTGCCTTCCACCAATGGCTGCTTCCTCTGTCACCGCCATCACTTCATGCTTTCTTCATCGGCCTCGTTTTTCATCTTCTCCTCTTCTACACGTACTTTTCTCCTTATACCTGCTTTATGCTATTCTCTTTTTCGCTCTTTCCACCTCCATGCTTTTATGCTTACAATTCTTATTTTTAGGACTCGCTGTCTCTAAATAAGAATTTTCACGGATCCTTTTCCTTCAATTCGGGGAGGAGGTACCATCTACACTTCTCTCTCTTTTTTTTTTATTTTTTTATTTTATTATTATCATTATTCAACTTCGCATCAATTTGGGGGTTTCTTTCAACTTCTCGGGCATGCTTCATTGGAATCAAAGTGGGAAATTTTAATGTATAACTTGCTATTTTCACTCATACTAATACTACCAAGTGTAGCCCCTTAGTCTTGTGTTATATGATACTCATTGTTGAAGCTGTCAATAGTAATTTGGCGTGTTTCAATCCAAAACACAGGAGAACTTTAACGAGTGCAGTCAATCAAGATAGCCTCCTAGGTGTGCTCGGAGAAACAGATTCTCACCAAGTAAGAATAGGGGCACTCTTGCAATTTCATCTTCTCTTTCCTTGCACTGCGCTGATTAGTTTTTGTCTTTTTGAGAAAGTGTACATATTGCTCTTCTAATGATACACGTGTCATTGCAATGGTCTTCCAATTGGTCCACCAAAGATATACATGACATCAATTTGGTTTTTTCATGTCAAATTTTTGCTCAAATTGATCTTTGAAGGGTCAAACTGATGGTTTGTAACCTTTGATTTGAAGGCACACGTGTGATATAAGTAGAGGACTTATTATATGATGCCTATATCTTTGGAGGATCAAGATGGATGCTTACTCTATCGTTTTTCTTATCAAACATGATTCTTACTCTGTAAATTGGTGCTGTTGCTTTAATATTTTTTCCCTTTGGATAATGATTATAATTCATGATTACACAAATTTATGCTTGCATTGTCCTGTTTAGAATTCATGCAATATTAAGTAGTTTGGACACCAATTTGGCTATTCTATATGTGTAGGATGGAAGTAGAACTATTCTCAAGGTACAGGACAAAAGTATTGAAGCGTGGTCACAATTTGCCAAGAGAGTCTCTGGTGAATGGGATGGATTTGGAGCGGACTTCAGTAATGAAGGGAAGGCAATTGAACTGCCGGAGTCGGTGGTGCCGGAAACATACCGGGAGTGGGAGGTCAAAGTATTTGATTGGCAGACTCAGTGCCCCACTCTGGCTGAGCCAGAGGAACGAGTTCTTCAATATAAATCCATTCAGTTACTTCCAACTGTTGGATGTGAGGCTGATGCTGCTACGCAGTACAGCGTGGATGAGAGGAAAGTGGGAGGGGAAAATGGTGGCCTTACTGCCTTTGCTTACCAATCCAGTGGTTCTTATGTTGCCGTCTGGCAACAGAAGGATAACTTACTAGAGTTGGAGTACTGCTTGATCAATCCTCAAGATCGTGAATCGAGGGTTAGGATTATTCAGCTTATCCAGGTATTAAACAACACAGAGATGGTGTTACAGGGTATTAGAGTATTTCGTGAGCAGTGGTATGGGCCATTCAGAAATGGTGATCAACTTGGAGGTTGTGCTATCCGTGATTCTGCCTTTGCTTCTACTGCACCCATGGCTGCTTCAGATGTTGCTGGTATCTGGAAGGGCTCTAAAGCTGTCTCAACTTTTGGTACTCCAAACACTGTGAGTGCAAGGATCTCTCTTAACCTTTCTGGTTTTTATATCTGGATTCTCCTTGTTTTATTGGCTTCATTGCCATGTGCTTCCTATTTAATTCCAGGAGATCTTTCAAGAGCTTTTTGATGACAAAGTGCAGAACTCTGTCAGAGATGGAGACAACAATATATTACTTCCTAAGCAGCTGTGGTGTTCACTTAAACATAGCAAGGAAGGTGAAACTCTTAGTGAAGTGGGATGGCTTTTAGATCATGGGCAGGCAATCACATCAAGCTGCCTATTCTCAAGCACTGCAAAGCCACAGGCAAGTCCCAAGTTACAATAAATAGTTTTTTCTTTATTTATTATAAGTAATGGTAGACTTTTGATAGATATGGAGGATCCGAACGGATCCACTCACATAATATTTAAATCAATAAATGTGTGTGCTGCTCTATTTCTGGGCTCATGAAGTTAATAGCAGGGGATCCACGTTTGGGTATAGAAGCACCAACACTAAAATGTTCGATTGTATTTTTATATTAATCTATAATATTTAGTGGCAAGTCAAACATAGGGGGTTTGGTTCAGTTAGTTGGGTAGCGTGTGAGTGGTTGTATTGTAATCCCTTAGTACTGTATTCAATTCCTACTAGACATGAACCTATTTACAGTAGTGAAAAAAGATGTAGAGAAAAAAGTTGGGGAGATATCAGATATTGGTGGAATAGTTGGGAATAGTATTGTAATCCCTTATCTCAATGTGAATTCTTTACATGTTAGCTGGATGCCCAGCATTGAAAAACAGCACTTGGCGCTGTTTCAAACCAAAAACAAAATGGATATATCAAGTAACAAGAGTAAACAACTATTTTGATGCTTGAATTTAGAAGGTGCTATCATATTGGTTCCTAAAATTAAAAAAAATGTCAAGTAAGTATTTAAATTTAACTATTTGTTATTATTTTAGTCTTTGAATAAATATCAAAATTATGACTTTAGTCACACATTTTTTTTTAATTTTTTTTTACCAATATAATTGTGAATTTACATTTTAGATATATTTTACAATTTCTTAGTTTGAGGAACTAATATAATAATATTATTTAAATTTAGTAATCAATTTTGGTGTTTTTTTTTGGAGTAGCAAAGATATCACTAGAACAACATTATCAACTTAAAAGGGGTGGGGTTGACTCTTTAGGAGAACACTCTTGATAATTTTTTATTATTTATTTTTTTATTTATTTTATTTTTTTATCTTTCCTTAGGAGAACACTCTTATATGGCAGCGTTGGATTTTTGAAATATATGCTTATATTTTTTTTTTTTTGTTTGTTGTCATGTTCCAATCAAATCGTTTTGTTGACCGTTCAAGCTGTATTTCTTCTAACATAGTCATGCTCTTCATCTTTGGCAGGAAATATCAATAGCATTAGAAAACAGAGCCTTGGAACACGTACAGCCATAGTGGCAACCCATTTCTGATCCAACTTTGTTTACTTTCTCCTTAAAGACAGTAGTATCCATGGTGATTTAAATACAGATAATGTTTTTTGTACAACAAATTGTATAACAAATTTTATGACTGAGAGAGAGAAAATAAAGACAAGTATAAGATGTAATAAATAATGGAATGGAACGAGATATAGACAAAAAAAAATGTTGTATAAATATTTGTACAAGTTGTTCTTCAAATATAAACATGACAATTTTGCAGCAAAAATTGTATTATTTAAATCATTCATTTTAACTCGTGTACGAGTTCCATTCATTTTATCTTTCATGGTATGTTTCAGTCGTTGGCGTGCATTGTGTTTAGATGCTTTAAACTTACATTGTCATATTCCTTATGCTTTGGTTGGAGAGTAATAAATCAGACCAGAAAGAGAACTTTTGAAATTTGAAAACTTATATTATTTGATTAAACAAAATATGAAAAGAGATGAGAAACAAAAAATAAATATTTCCTTCTTCTACGTTTTAGATTTCAAAATATACCAGTAGTACTCGAATATCACGTGTACTAATTTTAACTTTAAAATAATAATTCATTTGTAGCGTCAATAACTAAAATTTAAAACATCTTAAATAATAAAATAATTTTTAACAATATATTTATGTAGAACAAGTTTACTTGTACAGTATAATATACACGGGGCATGTGGTCAGGGACGGAGCCAGGATTTCAATACTGGGAGGCCGAGAATAAATTCCAAAGTGATACCACATAGCAGGCCGTACCAGAAGTCCAAAAGTTGAATAAAAAAATAAATTTGAGTTATTCATTTAATTATACATATGAGTTTATATTAAAAATAGGGGGTGCCATATAGTAATATATATGTATATAAAAAAAAATTAAAATTGTTGGGGGGGCCGTGGCACCCGTAGGTCCCCCCTTGGCTCCGTCGTTGCATGTGGTGTTTTTACTTTTCTGAATACTTAGTTTGTTATTTAAAAAAAATATATGATAAAAATCGAGAATTTTCTTATAAAGATTTCTCTTAAACATGAACATGTTTTTTGTTCCGCCCACTGAAACGCTGAGAATACGAGTCCTCCACTCAATTGACGCAAGCGCTTTAGAAAATCTCCTTGTCCCTAAATTACGATTCTACCACTACAGTTTTTTTAAAAGGAAATCAAATTATTAATTGCATGGTTGGGTTCATACTAATTTTGTTTTTAATTATTAATTTCATGCTCAATGTGGAAAATTATTGTCGGAGTTATTTTGCTTCAAATGATTTTTTTTCTTTATAATTTATCATTAATCTGAAAAACACTATTTGACTACATTATGCATAAAGCCTATTTTTGCAGTGTTATACGAGAAAACTGAAATGAAAATAATTGGACGCGTGTGTGGTTCACATTCCGCGGGTCGAAACAAAAAACAAAAGCAAAAACGTTCACGAACGTGGAAAAGGGTATTTTGGTAAAAGCGGGTGTAGTTGAAGGGTTTATAAATGGCGTAGGCATTAAGCACAGGATTACAAAAAAATCTGATCTAACACAGCCTCGAAAGGTTATTACCATGGTTTCCACCAAGGTATTCTTCTTTCTTTCATTCCATCTACTAGCGTAGGCGTTATGTTATTGCAGATTAAATCATTATGTTAAATTGTTAATGATCGTAGCCTGTACTGAATTCGACTTCGGCTGTTTTGTTTTGTTTTAATAGTTTTTATGAGGAATTATTGATATTTTCGCTAGAAATTTGTGGAAGGAACAGGAGCTATGTTACCAACAAAATTCCTGGGAATTTTGAAGTGGAAATTTTTAAGTAATTAAAGGGTTTTGTGTTTCAAGTGTGAAGTAAAGTAATGAACTTATTGGTGAGGCCGGTTTCGTGTGGATCTACATAGATGCTAGGTTAGGTTCGGATGTTGGTTGTAAAAATTGGATGCTAATCAGGGTTTTGAATAGGTGTAGCTGTGTGAAATTGTGAATAGTCCCTGCCTGCTACAGGGGCTTATACTATCTCGCTATAGAACTTTTGGGGCTGGCCACTATGTAACGCTATCTGGGATTAAAACATTGATACTATCATTGTTCCTTCTCCTTGAGAATTTACTTTTTGTCTTAATGTCTTATAGGGTATTGTTGCATTGGTATGATGATATTTTTAAAGCTAGGTACCTATTTGAAATAGATTTTTCACTTTCCAATTAGTAGTACATTTTTAATCTTGTATATATTGATCATGCACTCAAACCATCAATTCAGTTAGATGTGTACGATTACTCTTGCTACTACATTTTTGGTTGTGGAGAGGTTGTATGAATTCTTCAATAAAAACTTCAGAGAAATAAGAGGAACTATTTTTTGTCAAATGTCATTTTTTGCTTGCGGAGAGATTGTATCAATTCTTAATTCAAAACTGCACAGAAATAAGATGAGCTTTTTATTTTTTTTTTTATTTTTTATGTCAAATGTCATTTTTCACAGGATCCACGTGAGGAAGTCATTCAAGCATGGTACATGGATGATAGTGATGAAGATCAAAGGCTCCCCCACCACAAAGAACCCAAGGAGTTTGTCTCATTGGACCAACTTGCTGGTAAGCTTCGTGCTGTATGTGTTGGTTATATTTATGTGCAGATTAAGGGGTTTACACTCACATCTGGTCTCTGGCTTGTGTTAAATTGCAGAACTTGGAGTCCTTAGCTGGAAATTAGATGCTGATAACTACGAAACTGATCCAGAGCTGAAAAAGATTCGTGAAGAACGTGGTTACAACTATATGGTTTGTGATACTAATTTCATTATAATTGTTTGAACTAACTTTTCTACTAAAAATAAAATAAAATAAATATATATATATATATATATATATATAGAGAGAGAGAGAGAGAGAGAGAGAGAGAGAGAGAAATATCAAAAACATTCAAAGTATAACTATAATTTTAATTTTTTCTGACATTGAGCACTATTTATGTGATGTTTAACATTTTTAAATTTTTTATTTGATGTCTAATATGTTGCATCTTTACATTCTGGCTATGCTTATGCTTTTTAGTAAGTTAACCTGTGGCCCCTTTTTCTGCAGGATGTGTGTGAGGTCTGCCCAGAAAAGTTGCCAAATTATGAACAGAAAATCAAAAGCTTCTTTGAAGAGCATCTTCACACTGATGAGGAGATCCGCTTTTGTGCTGCCGGAACTGGTATGAATTAATTTTCTGCTATACTTTGATATTTTTTGCCGCCTTGCCTAGTAGTGCCTGCCCTGTTAAGTTGCTAAATATCCTGTTTTTCTTTAGGCTATTTTGATGTTAGGGATCGCAATGATGCTTGGATTCGCGTGTGGGTCAAGAAAGGAGGAATGATCATCTTACCTGCTGGAATTTATCATCGCTTTACACTGGATGAGAACAACTACATTAAGGTATGAATTGCATGTTTACAAGTAGTACCTGCACTGCTACTTTTCTGTTGATAATAGAAAAGCATTATTTCCTTATACACTAATATTCTTCTGACCCTTCGTTTGGTGTTTCGAATTTGGTTCTCAGAATACTTTATTACATTGCACCGTGCCCTTTATTGAATTTTTTTGTGACTCTTTTTTGTATATTTTTTAAAGAAAGAAGAACATGATTGCAAAAAAATTGGTTAAGATGAAGGTGGAGCTTGCATAGTTATCAATTAGCAATATAGTGGAACCTCACATCTGGTAGCTGCTACCATTTAATCAAACCGTGGTAATTTTGCATTACATGATAGCGGCCAAAATCTTTACTAAATGGTAGAGTCGTAGAGGATAACTCTGCTGTTCCCTGTTCGTGCCTCAACCTTTGATTTCAAACCTTGATATCTCACACCAATATACGTTTTTCAGCCAGACTCACCCCACTTCTTTTCTGGTCAGGCCCACCTCCAACCTTGTAGTTTAAAAATAGTAGAGATAACAGAGCCATGCTTTACTATGACATGACATATGCGAGATATCTTTGTTTTTTCTTAGGTGTTTTTCACACTAAAAGTTCTTTAGGGTGACAGAGCACAAGGTTCCAATCTAGTAGGGTTTGTTTTTGAGAGGGTACATGAACATGCCTTTACCCCAGACTAGACCCTAACATTGCACCGGCACATTTATCTAATTTATTTGTCACAACACTTCTATAAATTCCATTTCCTTATTTTTCTTGGCCTTCATTTTAATCTTATTGGTAATTCTCATTTTTATATTAATTTTTGCCTACTTTACCTTGTAAGTGCTTCTTACATGATTTTAATGTGCAGGCTTTGCGATTTTTTGTTGGTGAACCAGTTTGGACTCCGTACAATCGTCCACATGACCATCTCCCTGCAAGGTGAGTTAATATATTCAATAGCCTAGTCTGTGAGACAATCAGAGGCTTTTATGTCAATCCTCATAATATGATTTCATTGCGCAGACAACAATATGTCAAGGATTTTGTGGAAAATGGTGTTGCCAATCATGCCGTTGATGCTGCTGCGTAAGATCTGTTTCTGCATGTTCGTATTAGTATAAGTGAAGAGAATAATGGTCTCTTTATTAACGTTTGAAAAAAGAAAATAATGGTCTCTTTAAATGAAAGGGTTTCCGTCTTTTTATCCTCTTGTTTGTGTAGGGGTCTTTTTATCTTATGGTTTGTGTAGGGGACCCTTTAGTCTTCATGTACTATGCCAGTCAGTCAGTGTTGCTGTTGCCTGTCACTGTATAAAGATTGCCTTGTATTATTACCAGATTTGGGGACAGAATAAACATAAATATATGTTAGAATGCGAATGATTTATGTGCTTTGGCTGCATTGAAATTTTACAAAATATATTTCAAGCGGGAACACCTAACCTAAAATTATAGGTATGATAAATAAAAAAACCCTGAAGTATAGGTGACGTCATAGCTGTAGCTGAGTTGTTACGAACAATTTCCGGTACAAATGTATACAAATCTAATTTTAATGGTTATAAAGTTATAAATACCATATTTTTTAAAACTTAAAACAGTTTTTCTAGCCACTTCACTTTTTATCTTTCACGTAACATATCTAATCACGTTTATTATTACTATTCTTTGTATCCTTTAGGACGCCCACGCATCATATTCCGAGTTAGAAAATGAAAAATAAGGCGAGAAATTGGCAGAAATAACTAGGCAGTGAATTTTTTAATGAAGGAAAAATAAAACTATATAGAAGCTAATTAAATGAGGTTCTGTATCTTTCTTTTGATTCCGGTCTTCAATTTCTGTTCGATACGCACAACCTTAAAAGTTAAATTTGAATACATCTAAGTGCTGCAAGTACAGGGCAAGGCAATTGAGTCGGTTCATATACATGCTTATTATGAGCGGATGCTATTTTTAGTCTTCAACGGAATTGGTGGGTAGCGTTTTCAAGATTAGGCATGGTGAGTCTTGGTTAAAATAACAGTGATCATGGAATTGTGATGATGATAGGTTGACGCTAAGTCCAGTTGAGGATGCTCATGATTCATGGGGGTTTAACCCCAAGAAATTACAAAATTATCGATTAAATGTAATTTTGTTTGGGGGGTTCATGCTCCTGCAAGCCTGAATAGATTCAAAGGGTATCGTTTAATCTGTTCAAACCTCTTCATGAGTAGAGTAACACGTTTTGATTTTTAAACCCAATCCATACATACATGCATATTATATATATATTAAATTAAAAATACAAAAGCGTCTATCTTGTCATTTATATTTTTTTCATAGATTCTTTTCATTTATATTAAAAAAATTACAATATTAAATGTTCATGGCTAATTGATCTAACTCGATAAAAGTCGTTTACAATTAAATTGGTTTGATTTGAATTTAAAAAAAATTTATACCAATTCGACAAACTTAACCATAAAATTTAGAATAAATTAGATAATAAATTTAGTCAAATTTAATTTAACTCGACCCATTAACACTTATTTTTTTTAATGGATGATCTTTAAAGTAAAATTTAAAATTGCTTTTAAGAATACAAATATTAGGATAATGCTACAAATTTTCACTTGAGTATGGGTATCTAAAGCTTCCGTCTTATCCTTCCTAATGTAAAAATATATATTATTTTTTCTAGAGACACATTTTAGAAAAAAAAAAATATTAAATTCTTACTAATTTTGCATACTTTATTCTCAAGATATGTCTTTTTGTGTTTTTATATTAAGCAAGTTTAATGAAATAAAATTTTATTCTCATTTTTATTTCTAGCGTATTGGTGCCTTAGCCGAAGTGAACCGATGGAAAGCTATCATATTAACAATTCTTCATTCGTATTTTTCATTGACATTTGTCAATTGTTTTAAGGAACTAGAAAATTTAATTTCAAAATTTTAGTTTTATTTACAAGATTTCATTCTGTCAATTTTTTTCCCCGTTTGATATTAGAATAAGATAAACACGAATAAGATAATAAAGGAAAAGAAAAGTAAAAAATGAAAAGGAAAAAAATATGAGCACGAATAAATTTAAATTCATATCTTATTAAACATTTGATGAGAAAAATTAATCTAATAAATATTAATAATTTAAAATTTAAATATGCTTTAATCTTTTGAATAAGGTAAATTTGTTTTTTATTCTTTAAAATTTAAAATTAATTATTTTAGTCCTATGATTTTTATAAAAAAAAATTATATTTTAGTGTCTCTATTTAAATATTGTTAGTGAATATGTTAAAAATTGTCATACAAAATTAATTTATTAGTACCCTTATTAGTAAAAATATTAAAATCGATTGATACGCACAACTGTTATAACAAATAGAAACACTACAACTAGTAACAAAAACTATACTACTAAAACATACAAGATTAAAGAAGAGGATGTGTCACACATATTTATAAAAACATGAATATAAAAGTAAAACATTTATGCTAATATAAATAAGTTATATACATGTATACAATAATCTCAAAATAATCTTATGTCCTAGTGTCAATCAAGCACATGTATACAAGCTACCACAATAGCACCAACACCAACTGAAAAGCACCAACACCAACTGAAAAGCACCACCAACCTCCAAGCAATAATTGCTTCTCCAACCTAACCTTGATATGCTCTCATACAATATACGATCATTACAATTCAAACCACAATTGAAACAAAGGGTAAGTTAGAGTTAAAAAAATGTAAGTATAGAAACAATTCTATATCATGCAACATCATACCATACTCATACATAGAAGTCAAACATCCCAAGGCAAACATGTATCTCATTTCAACTATGTCATACAAGACATCCAACAATGCATATGAACACACCACAACATACAATATATGCAAACATCTCAACTAATGTGTTGTCATACATTCACCTACGAAGATTTCCTAACAACATGAACAACCTAAGTGACTCCACCTTATCGAACCAACCCAATCATTTTCACATCCGAAGTGCTGGCTCGATCACAATAAATGGGATACCAATTTCTCCTGTAGTTTCTCGAGTATTGTTACTTACATTAGGAAAGTCTATTTCCAATGTTAGAAATAGTACAGTTAGGTATAAGTATATCACGACCTTGACATGCATTATCAAATCACAAATGAAATTCACTCACTAGTTATCTTCAAGGAACGACATAACCTTTCCAGGTACTTGGTTAAAAGTTGTAACCTTCAATTTCCTACCTTGCTTAACCACTAATTAAGGACCTAGAGGAGACTCAACACGCCTCAAAACACACTCAAAGAGATACACCTACTCAAGAAAGGTTTTCCAACAGTGGCTTAATCGAGCACCACTCCAAGATTCTCTATGTGGGATCTTCAATTTTCAAAACATTTTTCCTCTAAAGTCCTAAGTTAATTAACATGCTTTAATGTCATACCACATTCTTAGCATCTATATCTCGCCATACATCATTTATATGCACCACATTCGGACAATATATATATAAATCAACAACATCAAATATATACAACATACATATACTCATCGTTATCCACATTATACAACCATCTACATATATCATATCCAATCAACTTATATAGAACAATCATCATACACCATACAACATGCAATAGAACTCAAAACATCTATTTATGTTCATCATACAGCACCATCAAAACATCTCCATCATGCTAGCACCTTGCGCTCGATGTAACATACCTTATGCTTGACGCCATCGAGTAAGGGAATTCTTTATCTCACTCACGTTCTACGTCATCCAAATTACACTTGACGTGACAAAGGTGGAGATTCCCGAGGACCTCATGCCTAACGTGGAAAACCTAGGTGTGGCCTCATATTAGTCAAATAATATATGTTTAACTCACGTTTAACACCATTTAAACTGCGTCCAGTGCCATCCCAACTCGAGATGAGTCTCTCTGCTCACACCTAATGTTATCGATCCTATGCTTGACGTGACCAAGACAAAGATCTCTGGTTGAAATTGCGTCCGACATCATGAAGCCGCACCTGACATGACTATGATTTCTGCATAATGCAAATCATGAAAATGGCCCTATGCACCTGAAACTCAGAAAATCCAAAGCATGAAAGCATCATAACATACATTTACAACACCCGTAACTTATTTTTGGCATTAGAAACCACATGCAACCATAAATCAAGTGAATCACTCGACCTCACCTTCATGAACTCAAAACACCAAGTACTCAACATGCACCAAACCTCACCTCAGATTTGTCAAACAACCAAGAATTTAAAGCAATTATAGGCACTTACAACTTAACAATTTAGCAAGAACCAAGTCTAGCTTCCCTTACCTCAAATCCTAGTCACCAAGAAAAGAAATGAGGAAAAGGATGAGAAAAACTCTGAGAAAACTTTATGCCTACACCAATCCTCAGCTCCAACAATTTCAAATCACCACCCTAAAGATCAAAGGAACCTCTCACACCTCCAGGAAATCTAGAAGAATGAAAAAGAAGTAAAAAATCTCCAAAACCCATCTCTCTTGTTTATTTCTCTAAAATCCTTAAGAATCAACTTGTAAAGCCCAATTCTAAAAGAAAACTATTTATACCTTTCCTTCTCAAGGTCAACTAGGCCAATGACCAAAGACCTTCTACTCTTAGGGTCACTCAACAACCCCTGAGTACTTGAAAACTAATTAGTTAGCTTATAGTGTCACATTTGTTTTAATCTATCATTGTCAATTATGTTATTAGTGGTTTGATGAACTAAGACAAGAGTTTTTTATTTTATTTTAAATAACATAGACTAAAAAAACTAACTTTAAATTTGAAAGATTAAAAATAAATTGACCTTAAATTTAATAAACTAAAAACATACTTAAGTCACAATTTAGTGTAAACATATATAAATAATAAAAAGTATTCTCATATATGAAAATAATTTCTTCTTTTATAAATATATTAAAAAAATATCATTAACAATAGTTAATAAATATGATAATGGTAATAACTATTGATAACTTGCAATGACAAAGTAATGAAGTTATAATATGTCATGATAATAGTTGTAGTGATAGTGAATTTAAAATTGATAAAAGAACTTGTAATAATAATAGTAGTAGTGAGAGACCGATAGTGTTCAAAGTAGTAATAATAATGATCAAAATTGAAAAATTGTCAGGAATTAGAGTAAGAAGAGGAAAAAAAATTATCTATAATAACATACTTCTTCATGACTTAAATTTTCTACGTGATACAAAACTCAAAACTAAATAAGTTCATTAAGTAATAAATTAAAACAAAACTTCAAATTTAATCCTTTAGTTCAAATCATACATAGTGCATTGTGAGTGAGGTCAGTGGTGGTCTTATTTGCATGACAAAAAACTACA